ACCCAAATGAGTCGCGGATAAATTTTTCAGCACTAAGCGTGTTTTCCAGCTACGGAAATGCGGGTGACGACGCGAACTGTTACCCGCATTCCTTGTATGTTGCCTCTCCATTTCTTCTCCTCAGTTCCTCACGCATTGGTTTTAGAAACACTGGATTAATCCTCACCCGGCGGATGGGGTGTTTGCTTGCATGTAGCCTGCAGATAGCTTGTGGAGACGGTAAGCCCGTGCCACGCGCGAATGGCCTATGAACTTATCACCATCACCCAAAACCGTGAGAAATGACGTCACGCAGGATCTCGATTTGGCTAGGAAGTGTATTTATTTAGCATTTAGCAGTGTTTAGTAAAAGTGTTGTTTATTTGGTAGTGAATTTATTTAGTTAGGGAAGGGCATTTAGCCATCTTCGATGGAATGGTTCCGATATCTCTTCCCTCCTTTGTTGGGAACTAATCGATCAGATTTCTCGATTTGAAGCGCACTCGATACTCCACACATACGTTGATAGTTTTCTTAATCCCTAAATATGTTTTGGGTGACCTCAAGACTACCAATGGTGGAGGGCATGCGTTCCGGCAAAAAGAGGCTGAGGAAGGTAACACTGGCAGGTAACCTCACATACACCGGAGTTGTATGTGAAAGACAAAAATCGTATGTGCGCCAAAACTTTGGCTGCATATTAAGCATAAGTTATGACTTAAGGTCCCTACAGCCCTGTGCTAGGAGGGGGTAGATCTTACCATGCGTCACTATTAAGTGTTGCGTGTGAGACGTATATGTGTGCTGGCAATGATGACATGTGATAGCATGGCATGTCGCGCATGTCCTGATGTGAAACATCAGGTATCCGCAAAAATGCGTTTTGTTTCTGTGTTAAAGCACCTGCGTTCGACGTTGCTGAACGTTTTGAGCTTGTGTTCGTTTGAGCTCCTGTTCGTCATTTGCTAAAGATACAACCTTCAGTCTGCATGAAGACACCGTCTTCTGCACATTACAGCGCCACTTCAAGAAGAGAACAAAGAGGATAATTAACCTAATAGGACCTAGCCAAAGGTCAGGGTGGCCTGGACTGGCCTCTGTTGACCCAATCTATGCGTTTGAAGCGTTTATCATGAGGGTGTTGTCGCATATCAAGAGTATCGAGAAGGTAAACAAGTCATCCAGCGATACTTTCTACGATACTGGTTACGATAGCGTTAATGACAAGAGTGACAGGAGTAACAGGAGTAGCAGGAGTGACAGGAGTGACAGGAGTAACAGGGGTAGCAGGAGTGACAGGAGTGACAGGAGTAACAGGAGTGACAGAAGTAGCAGGAGTGACAGGAATGACAGGAGTGACAGGAGTGACAGGAGTGACAATGACAGCATTCTGACGGGAGTTAGACGAGTTTGCTGCAAAGCGTTTGCGACACACCCTATGCTTACAACATCAAAATTGGTGGAAACGGTGAAAATACCGAAATAAAGGTCGCATTCTTTGATTCTACACAATCGCGGATGAGATTTGAGTGTCAAAATTTGTCGAAGCTGGCGACTCTGAAACGCGTTCCGCAAACTTCAATTCATTAATATGTAATGCATCATGATATCATCTGTGACACCGTTATCCTGTCCCGGCGCGCACGAGAAGGCGGATGGATAACGAGAAGGCGGATGGATATCGAAAAGGCGGATGGATAACGAGAAGGCGGATGGATAACAAGAAGGTGTTAATCTCCAGTGCTATGCCGGTAAACTCAAACGCATCTATGCCGTTCCGCTGGTGTTCTTGAATCGTGTTAACATAGCCCTGTGCGGTGAATAACGCTTGAAATCCACGGAGGAGCCCTTCCTTGGAATTTCGTCGGGTGAGGCCCCAAAGGGAAGGTTGTTGTTCGAAAGCCACGTTTGTTAGATCAAGCAATTTTAAAACATGAAGTGCCCACTCAATAGCGGAAAACATGAAGCAAATAAGAGCTTTTTCACAGTTAAACACATTCGGATTCACTCGATTTCTTCCGTTCGTTAACGTGGTGATTTCACTGCGTTTGAAGACGCAGTTTTAGGATATTCTCCACCGGCGGTGAATGCAAGATTTTGAACATTGGGTGCATATAAAAGCATATAATGTTAAGCCAAGCCGTATAATGCAATTTGTAGCATTTCACGTTCAAACCTACGTACAGTATGGCTCAGATCAGAGGTACTGAATGTGTGTCCACAGTAGCATTAGCGTTATCCTCGGAAAAAAACAGGAGAATGGAAATATAGATAGAGATATCACCTGGTTTTTCGGAGGAATAAGGCTAATACTACTTTCTTATCTATGTGAATATGTTCTTCGGTAATACAGTGGACAACTTACATAACAGCGAATGTGTGGTTTGAACGCAGTAAGCGCATTAAGATTTTATAGAGAGATCCTACTCTGGCGAAGATTTCACCGTGGCAGATTTCGAAATATCCCGCTATCCCGTCCGTCCGTCCGTCCGTCCGTCCGTCCGTCCGCCCGCCCATCCGTCCGTGTGTCCGTGCGTCCGCCCGCCCGTCCGTGCGTGCGTCCGTCCTTTCGCCCGTGCGTCCGTACTTGCGCCCTTCCTTCCGTCCGTCCGTCCTTCTTTCCGTCCGTCCATCCGTTCGTCCGTCAACCCGTCTGTCCATCCGTCCGTCCGTCCGTCCGTCCTTCCGTTCATCCATCCTTCCGTCCGTCCGTCCGTCATCCCATCCGTCATCCCGTCCGTCCGTCGCTTCAAGCACTTCGGCATGCCAAGCCTAAACTTGGGCCGCCCGTCTCCCAGCCTTCTCGGTCGTGTGCTCCGGTTCGGTGGACAAACTTCGGTGCCGGTCTCGGGCCGATCCCGTACAGCGCCGTCGAAAGTAAGCAGGGGCCGGCGGCTCGACCCGCGCGTCAGGCGCTCACGCGTCCTTTGGACTCATGTTATCTAGCGGTCTGAGCTATGGATGAGCGTATACTCGGCATCAAAACTTTGAACAAATGAGCAATACTGTTGATTCACCTTTGTGAAGTGATGACCTTCGTTCGAACACGGCACAATGCCAGCACACTTATCCAGGCTGCTTTCATCAGGGGCAGGGTGCCAGTGTTCTCGCTCTGAACGATGCGGGCACGTTTCATCTGCACAATGATTCGTGCCGCCATGCCTTTTCGCTGAACGCGTGGTGCCCCGCGCATGGAATTGCGGAGCGGGGCCGCAGGTCACAGGCTTTCGTTCTCAGGCCTTTGGACCAGGTGCTTTGTTCTCCAATCTTCCTGAACTATCAGCTGTTAACGAATTTACCTGCCCAGATCACCTTTCCAAATACGTTGGAGCAGTCATATCCGTAGGTGCACTATCTGCATCTGTATCTACTCCACACAACCCTATTCGCATCTACTCCAAACCAGCCACTACTTTCCCATAACCCAGCACTCCCCCCCCCCCCCCACCCCGACCTCTGACCCCTCTCCTTCGGGCTGACAGCTGGCAGGCCCTTGTTCGCCGGTCGGCTGTCCGCCACGCCGCCGCCCGCCGGCTTGAGTGCTGCGGACCAGTCTGCCCCCGCAGGGGTGGCGGGGCTCCACTCGGCCTCCGCCGGTACAGCATCGGGCGCTGCGGCTGGTGATTGGCGGAGATGTGGGGTCGCGCCACGGAAGCTGTGCTTGTGTGACCGGTATTTAACGGTCTTTTGACAGCTGGCAAGGAAAGCCGAGGTGAAATAGGTTAGGATAATGAGGGAAAACTGCACGGCTTCCTACATTTTCGGCACAAAAGGTCTACTTGACCTTTGACACTGGTGACGGCCGAGGCATTGTATCACCACATCGCTATATGGATGTGATTCACCTCCCCCACCCCAACCCCCCCACCCCCACCCCCGTCGGCTCTCGGCCCGGGCCCGTGGCGCCGAAAAAGATCCCGTCATTGAGTGACGCTTCCAGATATGATGCATTCGCCGTTGACTAGTGCGCTGTGCTTTGGCTGTGCTTTGGCTGTGACTAGTGCGCTGTGCTTTGACTGTGTGGTGCGTAGCGTATTGCATGCAACGGACTTGCAGCAGCAAAACCACCCTCCGCTGTGAAAGATGCAATATCGGATGTTCTGCGCCCGAAACGCTGGCAATCACCGGGCACGCACAGATGCGTCGCACAGTTTGTATTGAGGCAGACTGCCGACATCTCACTCACCAACCGTCACCGACATCTCACTCACCAACCGTCACCGACATCTCAATCGCCAGCCGTCACCACGCCTGGTAGGCGAATGTCAGCTCTCTACCTCGTCGCCTCGTCGACACGTTCGCTCGGTTACGTCGCCGTGCGCGTAAGGTACCGGTTCATCACACCGTAGGCTGTTCGAGACAGTCGTTCGGTACAGGCCGTCTGGGTAACCAGAGGCTCGCCGCAAATGGCGGACATGTAGCCGGCAGGTGACAGACCTGTGCTCCGGACACGAAACAAAGCGTCAGAGGTCTACAGACTCATGTTCCGGACACGAAACACAGCAGCGGAGGCATACAGACTTGTGCTCCAGACACAAAACACGGCAGCGGAGGCATACAGACTTGTGCTCCGGACACGAAACACGGCAGCGGAGGCATACAGACTTGTGCTCCAGACACAAAACACAGCAGGACAATATCAGCAGCACTTGAGCCAAAGCAGTTCGGCTCACTCGAGTCTACAGAGCCCGCCTCGGGCTCACAACTTTGAATGCGGGCTTCAGGTACGCGGGCCCAAAGGCGGCGAATATCCGCGCAAAGTTCGCCGCCTAACACAGGCCCGTGGCACATCCAGATTCGAGGCGAGTTCCAGATGCAGTACAAGTAGAGAACAGGGTAGAGGGTGTGGTGTTGTGCAAAGGCTGGCATTCGGACGCAGGGTTGCTCTCGTTTGGAAGCATTTTTTAAAGTCGCCCGTTGGACTCGTTGGCGCTACGCATATACCCGACTGGAACGGACTTCATTGCATCATCTTCATCTTCATCATCATCATCATCGTTTTCTTCTTCAATGCATTTCAGTCATAGTTCTGTTTGTTTATTGAAAAAGAACGGTCAGTTGGGGACAAAAACATTGGTGGAAGCACCTTAACGTGCGCTTTGTTGCCACACAGTACCGTTTTCGTAGAGATATGTAGTTAAAGGGAGCTCTGCGAAGTTTCACATGGGAGTAACCACATATCATCGCTTATTTTACGACTCAGCACATGTGAACAGTTCGTGTTCAGAAGATACGCGAAATGAGCGAGTCAGTACTGGGGCGATGAACATGTTTTCTTAACATTCTGATGAATGCCAACTCAATGCCAAGCGTCAATGAAACACCAGCAGATGAGTCCACGTTGCAAAGCGGGATCTCATCAAAGAGTATGCACGGATTCTACCGTCTCGCCTAGCATCACTCCAAAACGCACACACTTTCAACCACCGACAATCTGTATCAACGACGCCGCCGCCATCAACAGCTGCGACGCATCCCACCCATGTTCGCCGAACGCACACGAGATGGCAGCACTGAGCGTCAGCCCAGTTTTGCGTAGAGATCATCCAGCTGTGGCTTGAAATATCGTCGCATTTCGGGTCGCTTTGACTTGAGACCAGGGGTGAGAAGGTTGTTTTGCACGCTGAACGGGTCCGGGTGCAGGTAAATATCCTTTACCTGTGCGATTAGGGACAAGCGTCAGCGCACGCAGAAAGGATCGCAAAAGTGCTGTTTGCACGCTGCACGTGGGAAACCGCGAGAACGCTTAGTTCCACAGCCTCAGCGGCACTTACGGGGCTGGAAGCCTGTTCAGATTGCAACGCCTGTGCGTCTGTGTATCTCGGAGGAGGTAAATGCGGTTGCACGAATGACGGAGGTCTCGCGGGAAACAACCGCACGTTTTGGCGGAAAACAAGATGCACATTTGCAGCTGGATAGCCGCAGCCGCGCGCCAAATGGCCATTTCGCAGGTTTCAGACAGGCTGTATCAAGGCTTTCATTCCGTTCGCTTTGACTTGAGGCAAGAAGTGAGTTTGTTTCGTAGGCTGAAGGGATCCTTCTGCAGCAGCATAGCATTTAGGAATCACGGCAAGGTTGTCCCAAGTTCACATTCGAATTCGGGTTGAAATGATCACTTGGAATATCGCTTTGTAGTATGTACGATCAGTTGCCATCCTTGGAAAACATTCACGCGAGTCCCAAATGCAAAGCCCTGCGTATCAAAACCTGACAGAGATCTGGGAGCCCAGTGTCATGAGGGTAAGTCAGGCAAGTAGCCACTGGGCTGCATTGCAACATCGCAGCGCAATATCTGGCCACTCACTGGCTACAAAGCAAGTAGCCACTGAACTGCATTGCAACATCGCAGCGCAATACCTGGCCACTCACAGGCTACAAAGCAAGTAGCCACTGGGCTGCAGTGCAACATCGCAGCGCAGTATCTGGCCACTCAATGGCTACACAGAAGCTCAACTACGCGCGCGAGGTCCTGCATGTAGTCGAACATCGGATTTCAAAATACCGGTCTATCTGTCACGAAACGTGCAATTAATCGGAAGGGCACTAGAGTATGCGTAATTGACATTATCCAACTGCATCTATGTCTTCAATATTTCTTTTAGCCGTGATGTCGGATCCGGCTGGTTTACCCCAGCTTATGCGACTTCATAAGAGTTGCCGAGTCTGGTTGGCTTTTTCCGTTTCCTGTCCTGCTTTCTATTGACCCTTACATTCTTTCTGCCATATATATGTTCACTAAAATGCCGCGCATCTGTTTCATCCTTTCATCCCATTTCACCCCTTTTCTCTTTTTGATCACCTCTTCACATTTTGCTTCACGTCCCATACATATCTCAGCTCATTTCGCACGCCCTTTCTTCGACGTCTCAATTGCTTCCCTTTCTCTCACTTCTCCTTGCTAATGCCATACCACCTGCCCCCTCGCTTCCTCACCCACACCTCCATCCCATCTCCCCTGTCACCCGCACCTCTATGCCCCGTCTCCCCTGTCACCCGCAACTCCATCCCCCATCTCCTCTGTCACCCGCAACTCCATCCCCCATCTCCCCTGTCACCCGCATCTCCATGCCCCATCTCCCCTGTCACCCGCGCCTCCATTCCCCACCTCCCCTGTCACCGCCCATCTGTCCCCCATCTCCCCTGCTACCCGCCCCCTGTCCCCTCGCCACCCGCCTCACCTGCTCATAGCCCTTGAGCGCAGCTTTTTCGGCCAGGCGCGCCATGTCCTCTAGCACCATCTCCCGCACCGCCTGCGACTGGCACAGCACCGACAGCGTGCCCGGGATGCCGGCGGAGGCGGCCCAGGCCTTCAGCGCGACCACGGCCGGCACCACCACCGCCACCACATACGACTTGAGGCTGTCTCCGTGCACGAAGAGCTGCGCGACGAAGCGGGAGCCCAGGTAGACGGCCTCCACTTTCTCCGGCGCGACGTACTCGCCCTGAGAGACATGAAGGGGGAGGGGTAGTGGGAAATAATAATGACCGCCTGCATGATCCGGTAATATTAAATTCTTCCCAAAATTGGGTACAATCAAGCATCCGCCCAACGGCCTATGTCCATGAATCACACACCCATGAACTCTACGTCTATGAATCCTAAGCCCATGGGTCATGCAGACCCTATACCCAGTTGAAAGTACATCAGTAGCATTACTTAACGACGCGCTGTGCTACATCATGTCGACTGGCGCCAACTAGCGGTCTCATCGCTAATACGCATGGGTGAAGAGGTCATCCAGTCACAATCTCTCTCCACGCATTGGCCGAAAATACGAACGCAGTAAGCAAGCCAACGATGAACGCGTGGCACATTGGCACATTGGTCCACCGCCCGCAGTCGCCCGACGCCGCGGGGTTGACCAGAAGCGAGCCGCCGACCTGCGCCAGTTTGAAGATGGGTTTCCTGCGGTCGATGATGCTGAGGGTGCCGGCTGGCGTCCACTGTCCCACGTCGCCGGTGTGAAGCCAGCCCTGCTCGTCCAGCGCCTCCCGCGTGCGCTCCGGGTCACGATGGTAGCCCTGTGACGGCACGGCCGAGGTTCTAGCTCAGTGACATGTCCCGGATGAAGTCAGCGAGGTGGAAGAGACGGTGGAGCGGTTCGGTTCCGTTCCGCATCCTGACTTTCCGGCTGGTTCTCATGCATTATCCACGGTACCTACGTTTGTGCTGAAACGCTCTTGTACCTCCCATACAAACCCCAGAAACACGAAGTTCTTCTTACGCATCACGTGATACTGCTCATCATGAACAACCGCCTCCTCCTCGTCTTCCTGAGTAACCCTGAAGATGTACCTCATACCTCTAGTGCACCATTCCCACCTTGAAGGCCGAAGATCGTGTTCGAGACTGCCTTGAAGATATTGTTTGTGCATCCCCATCCCCTGTGCCAGTGCTGACTCCCTGTACATCCACAGCTACCCCGTGGCGAAGATCACGTTGAAGGACCATGATGGCTCTCGCTCCCTGTGCCGCCTGTCACTCTGAAGATGCTTCTTCTTCGACAGCCACTCGCCCGCGTCCCTCCTCACCCTGAAGACATCGCCTTTCCGACACTCAAGTCATCGCCAGGGCTCTTCCTCGCCATGAAGCTCTCTGTCCCATGCTGAAGACATCGTCCTTCGACACTGTAGTCATCGCCAGCGGCCCTCCTCACCCTGAAGACGTCGTCTTTCCGACACTGTAACCATCGTCCGCACCCCCCCCCCCCCCTCCCCCCTCCCCCCACCTTGAAGCTCTCCGCCTCACCCTGAAGACGTTGCTGCCACGTACGCAGACTTCGCCCTGGCCGGATACGGCGAAGTAGCCCAGCTCCGGCACATCCACCAGCTTGACATCGCAGCAGGGCAGTGGCGGCCCCACGTGCTCGGGCCGCGCCTCTCCCGGCAGCGTCAGCGTGCAGGCGGCCGCGCACTCGGTCTGTCCGTACCCCTCCAGCACCTGCCGGCAGGAGGGGTCGGGCCCCACGGCCGTCAGCAGTAGCGGGTGTTGCGCGAGAGGGTAATTCGAGCGTCAGAAAGACACGGTGGATGTTGCTTTGCGTACTGCCGGAAGAAGCGCTCTTGTCGGGTGCTGTTAACTAGGACTGGGCCCCGGAAATGCTGTGCTGGTTACGGTGCTTAAGTCCTGTGGAAGTCTTAAACGCTGAGTCTTACAGATATGTCTTTTAGGAGGCATGCATTTTATGAACCAGGATCCAGGTCTCAGACTCACCGTCGAAGAATGCGTCCAAGAGACACGGGTGAGATCTTAATCTAGCATTGTGGTCTCTCGGTGTTCGCAGTATCCATGCAGCCTCCACCGCTAAATAACGTTGAACCCGGTAACGCGCGCCGAGTGCCCCTTCACACAAAACTTTATCGCTTCAAAACGTAGAGGCTTAAAATACAAGAACCATAAACTCGTTACTGACAGCGCAGCCAAAGCCTGACATGAAAAAACCGAAAAATACACGTGACCGACTGTGTAGACGAAACCTAACATGAGAAACGACGAAAGACACATGACTGACAGTGCAACCGGGAGCTTATATGAAAAAACGACAAAAGACACGCGACTGGCAGTGCAGCCGAAGCCTAACATGAAAAACGACAAAATACACGTGACTGACAGTGCAACCGGGGCCTTACATGAAAAAACGACAAAAGGCACGTGACTGGCAGTGCAGCCAAAGCCTAACATGAAAAAAACGAGAAAAAAAACACGCGTGACTGACAGTGCAACCGAGGCCTTACATGCATAAACGACAAAAGACACGTGGCTGACATGAAAAAAACGAAAAAAAAACATACACGTGATTGACAGTGCAGCCGAAGCCAACATGAAAGAAACGAAAAAGAGACACGTGACTGACCGTGCAGCCGAGGGCGCAGCGTGCGAAGGTGAGCACGGCGGAGGCGGTAGGCGCAGAGCCCACCACCACCAGCCTCACCCTGCCGCCCAGCGAGGCCCGCGTGCGCCGGAACACAAACCGGTCCCACACCGAGTCATGCCGCACCACTGACCTGCGGCGGCGTACGCGGTCATAATAGGTCACAATAAGTCACGACTGGTCAGGAAATGCCACAGAAGGTCACGAAAGGACATGTGACAGTCATGGATAGGTCATGAAATGTCAGGACAGGCCACGGCAGGTCACAAACGGCCGCGGCAGCTCGCCACAGGCTATGGCATGTCCCGACAGGCAACGACAGGTCAGGGCAGGCTACAAAAGGTCACAACAGGTCACGAGAGGTCATGGTGGCGGAGCACGAGTGCGCCGGTCACTGTGGGTCCTATCGGGTACATAAAGGACTGCGCGTGTCATGTTGGGTCAAAGCGGGCTCCAGAGAGCCTAAAAATAGCTGTAAAGGGCCATTCCCGGGTCAAAGGTCATGGCGGATCATCGCAGGGCCTAAAGAAGCGTACAGATCACGAGTTGTCTCAGTGTGGTCGGAGGGCGGCGTACAGGTTGTGGTGGGTCGGAGCAGGTCACAAGGAATGCCTGGATACCTGTGGGTGGTGAAGTCACAGAGAGTGCCCGGGTACCCATGGGTCGTAAGGTCACAATGAGTGCCCGGATACCCATGGGTCGTTAGGTCATGGTCAGCCGTGGGATGTTATTGTATCATGTTACCTATCTGCCGGTGTGCACGAAGGCACTAAGCACACAGAGCTGCGCGCGACAGCAGTTGATAGAATTTCCTGCAGACACTAGGCTCATCTCCAGTTACACGGATGCAAAGGAAACCGCAGTCTTCGAGGGCCGCCAGGTCACCTGGGGTCGCGACCGCAAATCACAAACGCGTATATTACTCGACCTTGCGGTCACGGGTCATGAGTCATGGGTCATGGGCCATGGGTCACGGGTCATGGGTCACGGGTCACGGGTCACGGGTCATGAGTCTTGGGGAACGCAGTCACGCTATCGTGGGCACGGATCATGAAAGGCCACAGAAAACTTTTACTGCATACATTTGATGACTTCACCTTCCTGACTCTGCCTCGTATCTGACCATTCACCTTTCACCCGGGCCAGCATCATGCCATTCGCTTCGTGACCTCGGCCTGCGTTCAAACACTCACATCCAACCTCATTCCTGGCCTTTGACCCCTCATCCCGGCGTCCGCTTCACCCCTGACCCAGACCCGCGCCGCGCCACTGACCTCTTGACCTCGGCGTGCTTGGCGGCGAGCGCCCAGCGCAGCAGACGGCGCCGCAGCGGGCTCGTGCTGACCTCGGCCCAGGCTCGGTCGCGCAGCCGGTTCAGCAGCCGCGGCACCATGGGCACGACGGTGGGACGCAGCTGGCGCAGGTCAGCCGCCAGACCACGCAGGTCGCCGCGGAAGAAGCCCACCGCGCCGCCCTGCGCGTACATCACCGCCTGCAGCCCCGGTCAAGATCAGTAATGGAGGTCGAGGTCATGGACGGAGGGGACGGATGTGATGTGGAAGGCAAGCGGGTTAACGCGCGTGTCGTGGTTTTACGTTTAGGTCACGGTAGGGTCATGGTCTTGTGTATGGTTATGGTTTTGGTTACGTTTATGGTTTTTGGTTATTGTCAGGGTCATGGTACGATTATGGTTTGTGTATGGTCATAGTTTTGGTTATGGTTATGGTTTTGGATATGCACATGATCGTAAACTATGACGGATGCGCAGAGCGTGGCTCTCTGTTGCTGCAATACCGGCGACTGACTAAGGTCAGAATGACGGCAAAGGTCAAGAACAGCTTACAAGGTCATGGTTGATAAGCTACCTCAAAGCCGCTTTTGAACGTTTCAGTCAATGATTGTGATTTGTAATGCCATGGTTACTGGGTGTTGAATGCATGACTACTGCAGTTGTCGGTCGTGATTACTGATTGACGTCAAGGTGTATGAACAAAGTTGCGGGCAGTGACCGGGGCGACGGCCAAAAACCAGGCCGCTTTGCTGAGTCGGGTTGTGTACTGGACTACGTGACATATGAGACCGCGGTCATTGCCTGATGGCATGTAGACGCCAGGTACTTTTGGGGTTCGCATCAGTCATTAATGGTGAACAGTGAGACTCATTTTGCGGCGTTTGACAAGCAAGATTAATTTTGCGGCGCGAGAAAAGCAAGACTAATTTTGAGGCTTGGGACAAGCAAGTCGATGGCAAACGCAGCTGTTATCATTTTAAAGGCAACACCAAGGTCGTATTGACAGCGACCCAGACGACAAAGAATCTATTCCGCCGGCGTCATTCATGACGTCATACTCAATGCATTTTGCGTCTTTTGGTGTTCGTAGCGACTCGGACGACAAAGAATCTACGTGACGTCACGTAGAATCTTTGCTGGACGCACGGCACCTTTTTCCGTGACTTGATTGAAGTGAGGTAGACATGGCGCAACAGTATCAACGAGTCAAGCCAGGTGCCCAGGACCGACCACGAGTAACGAAAACGTGTTGTATATGTTACAAATAGTAAGATTTGCAGTTTCCATTGTTAAAAGCACGCTTGGTAGCCGCAAACGAAGATCTTAAAGCCCATGCATGTGCAATTATTGTCACGATAGTTGCGAGGATTTCAATTAAAAAAAAACGCGTCGCTTTGCGAAGACGACCGGCACAGACTCTACGCGACGTCACGTAGAACTGAACGCTCTTGGTGCGCTGTGAATGCATCCAAAAGCTGAAGCGCATGATGCGGTTACAACTGACGTAGCTGACATCAATACAATGGAATGTCCGCCTCTCAAAAGTTTATCTGACAAAGACGTTCACTCCTTTACATGTTAATATTCGTGAGCAACTTCAGCAATGACACTGCTTGCAAATCGACTGTCTATGGAGTTGGCCTGACCTGACGACCTCGTTAGACAAACATGGACTAATGTTTGACAAAAAGTCGACAAAAACATAGATTGATTCGCCTTTTCGGCAACGGCGGCCAACGTGCCGTAAGGAATGCAAGGTTGTTGGCGGTCATCGTGAACTTGGCTCATCTCACTCGATTCATGCTTTAGACTACGATGTTGTAGATCAAATCTAACTAAGGCGACTTCGGCCGCTTCCCGGCCGATTGTTGCAATCGCCGTAGTTGGCCGCACGTGGTTGTGCAATCGCGGAGCTTCGCAGCGAGTACACTAAGAGCCATCAGTGGGTTTATGTCTTCACCTTCTCCGTTTGCCCTGACTTGGCACCGGTCCTTAAGGAACGCTCCAAGAGCAGCAACAGAACGAGGACCTGCGACTGAGCGCCCGTACCCAGCCGATGCGCAGCCGATGCCCACTTTTGCCGGCACGGTCGACGTGTTCTCCTCCGTCAGACAAAATTGGTGTCGCGTCATCGCAAACTCCGGAAATTCGAGATCTGGCACCGATTTGGGCCCATGTTTTCGGCTTCGCGGCGGTGCGCGCACTGCAAAACCCCGATACGTCGCCGAGACCGATGTCCTCCCTCCCCCTCCCCCTCCCCCATCTCACCAAGACAACGCCAACCAACCTCGCAGACGCGCTCCAGCATGTGCGCCAGCGGCAGGAACGAGACGAGCGTATCGCCGCTGGCTGGCGCATGAGAGTCCAGCTGCAGCACCAGCGCGTGCACAGCCGCCACCAGGCTGGCGTGCGGCAGCATCACGCCCTTGGGGGAGCCGGTGGTGCCGGCCGTGTAGCAGATGGTGGCCAGGTCCTCGGGCCGCGGCGGCTGCCGGCGAGGACCGGGGTCAAGGTCGAGGGCCTGAGCGCTGAGTCGGGGATCAGAGGCTGGGGAAGCTGTCGGGACTGAACGGTGCTAGGGGCGGCACGCGAGAGCTGTTGGCAGGAGCGAGAAGTGCTGTGAGGGAGGCGTTGTGGGAGAAGACCTGCCGATGGGGTACAGATAGGGATCTCATGAGGTTTAGTCGTTTGCCGCGGCAAGCGACCGACTCCCATGCCCTCAACCAACCCTATCCCCTCGTGAGGGGTATAGTGTATGAAGGAGACGAGCTGATGGAAGAGGGCTGAGGAAGAGATGGGTCAGGACATTGTGAATCGGGACGGGTGTGAGGACACACGTGGCTGAAATAATAACATCGCTGGAAGCGCCGCGCACGGAAGGGGAAGGGAGGGTCTGCTCTCCAAGCAACACTGAGAAAACCTGGACTTGATACTGCCTGGTCGAGTGAATGCAGTGTTTGTAGTGCGAGTCGGTCGCGCTGTTTGTGTTTGTGTTGGCCCCCGCCCGCGGCGCGACGTTGGCACTTATCCGGGGACCATCATCCGCTCTTATGCCCTGTTAATTGAGTGCCACTTCGGAAATAATGATGTGATGGTAACATATACTAACAAAGGAAAACGTGCCAGAGTTCGAAGGATCTAAAGCAGAAGGTAGACAGGCCATCCATACAAATACGAATGGCACTCTCTGTTTTCCAGGGACGACCTACCTCGATTCAGCACTCCCTCCCGGGCAGGCATATACGTGCGCACACACCACACACGTTTGCGTACACGCGCGCCAACTAACAATAAACAGATACCAATGGACAAAACCCAACTAAAAAGCATCACTGCAAAAACAGCTGAAAATCCCGTGCCAAACCAGGACCTTTCAGAACGATATACAATACTCTAGCCATATGTAGCTGACCTAGCCCTGACCTCATCCTTGCCCTGATCTTAACTCTGATCTGGTCCTAACCTGGCCTAATATGACTAGACCTAACCCTGACCTCACTATGACCCCGACCCGACACAAACCTGAACTAGCTTGACCCCAACGCTCGCAAAACCTCCCAAACCTCACCATCGCCTTCATCCTCATCAACCTGTCCGCCACCACGAGCCGCCGATTTCCCCCTCTCTCCCCACCATCCGCCGAGGCCGCCTCACCCTCTCCCCACCACCCGCCGAACCCGCCTCACCCTCTCCGCCAGCTGCGCCTTGGCGCCGGCACTCTCCAGGTCGGTGAAGCGGGACACGCGGACGGCAAGGTCAGCGGAGCGCTGCAGAATCTCGGCCGAGGGCTGGTGCGTGCAGACCACGTGCGCCAGCCGTCGCGGTCGACGGTTCAAAAGCGTGGTGAGACGGGTGTCGTTGTCCACCACCACCACCGTCAGGTTGGCCTACGGGGGAGTCAGAGGGGAGTCAGATGGGAGTCACTGCCACGATCAGGCTGGCCTATGGGGGAGTCAGAGGTGAGTCAAAGGGGAGTCGCCACCACCGTCAGGTTGTCCGACAGAGGAGTCAGAGACGAGTCAGAGAAAAGTCGCCACCACCATCAGGTTGGCTTGCAAGGGAGTCTGAGGGGAGTCAGACGGGAGTCAGAGAAGAGTCAACAGCACAGTCAGGCTGGCCTACGGTGGAGTCAGAGGGAAGTCAGAGGGGAGTCACCACCACCGTCAGGTTGACCCGCAGAGGAGTCAGAGGGAGGTCACCACCACCATCAGGTTGGCCCACATAGAAGTCAGGGGGTAGTCAGAAAGGAGTCGCCACCTTCGTCAGGCTACCTGCAGGGGGACAAACAATTCGCCGACACAGTGGGGCTGGTCTGCAATGGAGTTAGAGGGCAGTCAGAGGGGAGTCAATAGTTCACCGACACAGTGGGGCTGGTCTGCAATGGAGTTAGAGGGCAGTCAGAGGGGAGTCAATAGTTCACCGACACAGTGGGGCTGGTCTGCAATGGAGTTAGAGGACAGTCAGAGGGGAGTCAATAGTTCACCGACACAGTGGGGCTGGTCTGCAATGGAGTTAGAGGGCAGTCAGAGGGGAGTCAATGTCACCACTACCTTCAGGTTGGCCTACGGCAGAGTCAGAGGTGAGTCATAGAAGAGTCACCACTACCGTCAGACTGGCCTGCAGGGGAGTCGGATGAGAATCAGAGGGGAGTAAAAACCCGCCGGCACAGTGGGGCTGGCCTGCAGGGTAGTCAAGGAAGGATTAGAGGGGAGTCGCCATCACCACCACCGTTGCCCGGCAGATGGGCAGAAACGAGTGCAAAGCAGTCATCATCTAACACAACCGTCAGGATGGCATGCGGGGAACCAGAGAAGAGACAGGGTGAGGTGGCAGTTCACCGTTGTCGTAAAAGAACAGCCTTCGGGCAATGCAGGAGGGAGTCAAGACGAAGTCAGCATCCATTACTATCACTGTCAGATTCGCCTGTAAAGATGTCCTCAAGTAGCCAGAGCAGAGTCATCCATCACCAGTATCAAAATGACCTGCAGTGTTCCAATATTCGGCCACCTGGGTGGCAGGATGTCGATATTTGTCATGACATGCACCCCGGCTTTAGGCTCACCGCGTGTGACCCCTCCCCTTGATCAAAGTCGGCCAATCAGGATTGAGCCGGGAGGCCGTCAAACCAGCTTCTATACGCTTCAAGTTTGATAAATGGGCTGAGTAGGTGAAATGTGTAGGCCGGGGTCAAAGGGTAACGGATTGGCGCCAACGAAAAACGTACGGGGACCGCCGAAGAGCCAGGATTCTGGTAGCATGAATTTATATTTACATCCTGCACCCTACTGGATGGATTTTGGAACGCTTATGACCTGCGTTGAATGTCAGAGTAAAGACAGAGCGGAGCCAGTCACCACCATTGTCAGAATAGCCTGCGTTGAAAGCCAGGGTAAAGTCAGTACAGCCATTCGCCACCATTATCACAAAAGCCTGCTGAGTCCAGACCTCGGAGATCACAATAAATATGATGTCCCAGACTATTCTCAGTAGGTCAGACAGAAGTCGCTATCAACCAGCAGCAACGTCAGATTGGTCTGGAGGATTTCGGTGGAGTGGCTCCATGCGACCAAGAGCAATGTCAGATTGAATGCTGCGGGAAAGGGAATCTGACGGAAACTTGATGGACACTTGATGCACGACATTGTTGACCTGAATACTCTTAGAATCGTGATACGCCAGATGCCGGGTGTTGGGGGTGAAGAACTCAATAATCTGCATTCACCACCGCATTCCCGTCCATGTTGACCGATGTGTGAGCCGTGCGTCCGCATGACCAAGTCATATCCTTCAGACTTGCCCCATGGGCGACATTTTTAGCATTGAGATGAAAACCAGGGCAGCTGCGGTTTCCTGCACGCAAGATACCACCAGGTTTGTAGCACGGACTTCGTCGTGTAGCGACAAAGCGGATCACGATAAGACTGAAAGATCGTGTGATCTCGAGAAACGCTCTCGTCCATGCACATAACAAACACGGGAAATACCACGCCACCACTCAACGCTCGACTTCGGCACCGAAAAAAATACACAGGCTGAGAATGTACCGAACGGGGATAACCGTAACTAGGCTGGGTTGCGCAAATCAGACGGGGTAAAATGCAAGTAAATTGGCAAGTGTTGACGGAAAGCGAAGCTGGTCCGGCGCTGCAGCAAAGCAAGGTGTAACGCCACGTTCCCCGCAGTGGACGCGATCGCGTTATGTGCAGCTACTGTCAACCCAGTGCTCCGAGTAACTCGCCAATGAGGAGATAAAGGGAGGAAGACAGGAGTTGGCTTGCAGCGCGGGAAATGACGCAATATACCTGAGAGCGGCATGCTCCCATGAGGACGCACGTGCGTACCTCGCGCCTTTCCGCATTCCGATCATGTTTTGAGCCGGCGCCGCAGCTGGGCCGCGACCGCTCCCTGTCTGCTTTCTGAAGAGTTTCAATCAGCTCTCGTCCCATTGATGTCCCGCTGCTGCTCGCCCCCCCCCCCCCCCCCTCTGCCCCACCCTGCCCCCTCCCCTCCCCCCGAGCCTTTCTCTCGTCAGATCAGTTTGATGAGCGACAATTCACGATCTGCGACGCTGCCGTGAGTAAACATCCGGCTCGGACATCTTTGCGTGGCATCCGCCGTCCCGTAATAACAACTCCAGATCTGGCAGCCCAGTTGGCAGCCCCAGCGGCCGGCCGCGGGCCAAAACTGTACGGACGTCGTCGGTGTTGATTTCGGGCGGGGAAGTGGGCGTGGCATGGTTAATGGATGCGCGGCCCGCAAAACAGAGGGGCTCTAAGTTCCTAGACTTGGATGCGTCATCACATATGACGTCATATACGCACCGTCACTCATGCTCCGCCGCTGACATTAGCAATGACACAATGCGGCGTCGACTTAACCAACGACCCATGCTAGGGCTGCCCTGACCTGATCGATGACGTAGGCGCAGGTAGCCTCCCCCAGAGCGTCATACAGCGGCACCACCACCATGCTGAAGCAGTAGCAGCCTGCTCCGTCAGCACCCACTCCGGGCAGTTCTGCATGTAGACGCCCACGCTGGTGTCCTGACCTGGACTCAGGCCTGCGGGGCAGTAGGAGTGACGACATACATGGGTGTCGTCACCTGATCTCAGACCTACGGTATTGGATTCCCCAGCCAGGGCCAGCGGCTGACGTTATAAAGTGACGTCATAAAAGTATATCTTATGGCATCCCTCTTGCTGGAAGCATCGCAGATAATCTGGCTCGGTTTCAGACCATGGTCCATATGCATGTACGGAGATTGGCTACGTCATCTCAATTTTTATCGCATCCTATGTGAATCTCTTTTGATCTGACCTGCTCTTCTCCTCATGCTATGCGCACTGTGCATAGCATGGGACTGCTAAAGCAGTTGGCAACCTAAGCACGCGTATGCCCTGAAGGGAACGGTCCGTGAAGGGAACGGTCATGATGTCTTTGAGCCAAACTCACGTAACGCGACCTCACTTGACCCGATCTCGCTTAATCCGATGTGACCTGACTTGACCCGATCTCACTTCATCCATGCGACCTCACTTGACCAGATCTCACTTCCTCCGATGTGCCCTCACTTGACCCGAACTGACTTAACTAGATGTGACCTCATTTGACCCGATCTCACTTGATTCAATGTGGGCTCACTTAACCCGATCTCACTTTATCCCGTGTGACCTCATTTGACCCAGCCCCTCTGACCCGACTTCTTCAACTTACCCGCTTCGCTGACCGCTTACCGCTGACCTGGACTCATTTGACCCGCCCCGGACCCACCGTTGACCCCTTGACCCACCCTTGGCCCAACCATGACCCCACCTCGACCCGACCTTTGCCCAACCTTGATCCGCACTTGATCCGACCTTGATCCAACCTCAGTGACCTGGCCGTGCCTGAGTTGACCCGATGTCGGTGATCTAACCTTGTCTCACTCACCCGAGGCGACCAGGCCTGCGGCGAAGTTCTTGGCGCGCAGAAGCGACTCGTTGTAGTGGATCCACTGGTACGGCTTGTCTGCCTCGCGCCAGCCCAGACAGGGGCCGTTGTCTGCAGCGAGGCGCAGACATCGGTCAGACAAACCCAACAGGAAAGCACTCCGCGATCCCATCGACCGTCATGCGAGGCAGGTCCGTCAAATGTCCGTCAACTATGGACCGCCGGAGCGCTGCGCAAATGCCGGTTATATTACGCGCGATTAGGCAAATTCCAACTGCGGGCTGGAATGTGTGTGTGGCGGGGTCTGACACCACGCAAGGAAAAGCCACGCGTCCTTCTTTGCACAGTGTACGACAGGTCACACACGCCGCCACAGAGCACGCAGGTGTCCCCCTACGGCTTTTCACGCGCCAGGCTTGGACTAGCGGTAGGCGTGAATCGCGAGAATGCCAGTGCTGTCTTCTCGCTGTCATGGTCTCGAATGCCATCGCGTTCACCGCCGGCCGGTCGCTGGCGCTCCTCCGGCTAGCGCCACCCTCCACGGCACCGATTTAGGGCGCTCAAGAGGACAGTGCAAGAAGACAAGAGGACAGGACGAGAGGTCGATCAGGTTGATGGCAGGAGGATGGGTGCTACTGATGTCGTGGTTGATTTTGTCCAGAGGAACTTCAGAACGATTGGTAGCGGTCACAAGCAGGCAATGAGTCCTACATAATATTTCCTTCTTCCTGCGTCTAGTATATTTGAAGTTCGCGCCAACGCTCCCCAGACCGTCTCGTGTCGAACATTTAAATATTTGGAACGCTTCAGGCACCACGAAAGTCACACCTAGCGCACAAAACACTTACAAATGCCTCTCACGTTTCGTGTTCCAGAGACGCCTTGTAACTTCGTGACGTTGCCATACAAGCTCAAAAGCAATCTCCAACCTTTGCAAAACCGACGGGAGCCTCGCTCCCTGGCTGCATGACACAGACTCGACAGCCTGAGAGTGAAACATCATGCTAAAAATTCCATTACATGCAATCCACGAATCATTCGTACCGTACGTATCCACATGTCAGCATTCCACCGCATCACGCCCGGGACATTCGGGGAATGCTGACCCCGTACGCATGGAATGCCATGTTTTCACAAGTCCAGTTGCGTTCATTAATTTACTAGAGCTTAACTCGAAACCCCCATTGACGTCATTTTTTCATCCAGCTGCGACCCAGCCACAGGTCATGACCCCCTTTACACCTCACTATCCCCGGTCTCAGGTCACGATCCCCGGTCACACGTTACGAGCCCCGGTCACAGGTCACGAGCCCCGGTCACAGGTCACGATCCCCAGTTACAGGTCACGAGCCCCGGTCACAGGTCACGATCCCCGGTTACAGGTCACGAGCCCCGGTCACAGGTCACGATCCCCAGTTACAGGTCACGAGCCCCGGTCACATGTCACGAGCCCCGGTCACAAGTCACGTGCCACGGTCACAGGTCACAGCTCCACTTGGAGGTCAAGTATCCCAGCCACAGGTGTCCCACTCCGATCAGAGGTCACGTGACGTAGCCCAGGGTCCCGCGCCGCGGTCAAAGGTCACCGGTGGTCACGAGGTCACCCAGGTAGCCGTCGGTGTCACTCACTGGAGAGCTTGGCGCCGCGCCTGAAGGTATCGTACAGTGTACGGCAGGCGTCGTCCAACGCCCGGAACGGCCGACCCGGCTCGGTGGCAGTCTGTGGCAGTCGGGAGCGGCGCACCAGCTCTGGACCCTGCGGCAGAACGGCGCTCACTCAGCTCGCTACTCACCGGACCCTGCGGCAGCCGGCGCTCACTCACCGCTCACCGGACCCTGTGGTGGAGTGGTGCTCACTCAGCTCACCACCTACGGAGCGCTCGGCTGGTGTGAGAGGGGCGCTCACCCAGCTCATCATTCACCGCATCTCATCATTCATCTGCATGACTGCAGTGGTAAATAGTGACCGTACTTACGTCTGTATTTTGCGCACGCAACAGCGACAAGTCGCGTATTTTTAGAGCTGGAGGCATGCAAGCGTGTCGTCATGCAGCCCACAATAACCCATGAATCACACTACGGAATGGCATCCGCAGACAGGTCTTGCGCAGAGGCGAACTTTGCTCTGCTGGCAATTGAAGCCGTAGTCTAGCATATTGTCTGTCGCACCTATTTCCATCGCAGCAGGTCTTGCTATTGCCGACGCTTCGAGCTCCATGCCGCATGACATATTTCCGCCGGCCCTCGCCGCTTTATCGTCGTCTGTCACATCGGTGCTATTTCACGAGCCATTTAAAACACGGCGAATGACGGAGTGATTTAAAAATGGTGGCGGATGACTGGTTTCGAAGTGGATCGACCTGCCAGTTGGTGATGCTTCCGTTTGTATATTTATCGGAGTTGTTTTTGGTGCTCGGAGTGACCGGTGGGGCGCGCCGGCCGATGCCTTTCCCCCGCGCAAAGCCAACAGAAAAAAGCCAGAGCTCGTCCGCGCAAAGCCAAAGCTCGCTCCTAACCAACGCCGGACAGATCAATCCCTGGCACAAGGCAGGCAGCACCGGCCGATCACTGCGAGAACGGAGGATAATCTATGGTAATTCTTCTCACGGCACTGAAACAATGCCACGCCTTCCATCAGCGCTGCTGGCGCCACCAGGGGCAACGTCTCTGCCATCGTTATTGATAACCGGTAGAGGTGCAAGGTGACCTTAGCTGCTGAACTTATTAAAATTTCACAATCACCACCATCATAACTGCCAGAATATGAATCTTGGTTATCTTCAATATGCCTATTATTACCGAAGATCACGCAAGCAGCCACTTTATCTCATGTGATGCAATCATTAGCTCGACCCTTGTTTGTTTATATGCAATCATTATCAATCACGTCGACACCTCATCAATTACGTCGCCACATTACCAATCGTACGAGGGCCCGGAATGGCAACAGCAGCACAAGACATCTCGACTTGAACCTCCCGGGGCAATAACAGCATAACACATCAACTCAAACCTCCCAGGGCAACAAAAGCACAACGCATCCTAACACAAGCCTCCCGAGGCAACAACAGCACGACACATCTCAACTCGAACCTCCCGAGGCAATAACAGCATAACACATCAACTCAAACCTCCCACGGCAACAAAAGCACAACGCATCTTAACACAAACCTCCCGAGGCAACAACAGCGCAACCATCTCAACTCAAACCTCTCGAGGCAACAACAGCACAGCACATCAACTCAAACCTCCCACGGCAACAAAAGCACAACGCATCTTAACACAAACCTCCCGAGGCAACAACAGCACAACCATCTCAACTCAAACCTCCCGAGGCAACAACAGCACAACACATCAACTCAAACCTCCCAACCCAACGAAAGCACAACGCATCTTAACACAAACCTCCCGAGGCAACAACAGCACAGCAAATCTCATCTCGAACATCCCGAGACCGGGTGCGTTGCCTTGCCCGCCACGCCAGCCGTGATCGCCGGGCGGAGGGAGAGGAATTTATAAGAATTTGGAGGAATTTCCCCTGCATTCTCGCAGCGGGCTGCCAGCTGGTGCTCCAGTTCTTCGCCGGCGCGGCGAGCCCGGTCGGTACAACACAGCCAACGACGCATAACCGGCACTGCACGGGAAACATTCCCAGCGCGCGACAGCACCTGGCAGGTGTAGCACACGGCAAGTGACGCCGTTGACATTGTTTTCCCGGGAGGTTAGATCTGTTTGGCAGTATTCACTAGCCAGCAGCGGCGGCCGCACAGCTGCAAAACTGGAGGAGGGAAGGAAGCAGCGCGTGGTTTCTTTCATTTGCTTTCAATATCCTCTCTCAGTGACGAAGTTTGTAATGTGGTTGGTTGGGGGGAATCCCCACAGTCGAGAATAAAGTGAGCCAAATATAAGATGAAACTCGATTATTGGACTATTTTGGTAAAAGGTCGTCGTTTTTGCATTTCTCAGCCTACCTCCCACCTTGCGAAACCGCACCCCTGCCCCCCCTTCTCTCGTCGTTTGCTCAAGCTCGCCACACATTTTTCGCGGGTGCGGGTCTCTGCTCTTCCCCCCCCCGCACCACCAAATCCTGCACCCTGACGACGCCTCTGCAGTTGCGAAGTGACGTCACGAGTGCTGCTCCAGTCGGGGTCGGAGATTTGTGTTTTTGTTTTTGTTTCGTCTGCCCGCTAGTCTGGTCTGCCGGTGGATTTTTCAGTGGTAAGCCGCCGCGCTCGCTTTGGCACGGTGCCAGGCTCGAGCTCTGCTGTGTGGCATCAGGGTGCGATGATTGGTTTACATTGATGCCATTGCTTACGGAGACGGGTAATGACTTCCGCATTTCGGCTGCTTTCATAATTTCGTAGCCCGGACACCAGGCATGTACGGGATGGGAAAGAAAGATGCAAGGAACATTCAGGCATGTGAATATCAGACATTGCCAAGACCTCATATACGTCATTGAAGCCACGCAAATATCTCGCCGGAAACCCAACGGCAGCAACTGGTATGGTCAAAACCACAATAAAAATGGCGCATCTTGACCAGCAAAACAAACCGCGTCGGTATCCCCGAAAACGGACCAAACAAGATCGAAACATCGACGCCTGGTACCGGCCGCCCCGGTCATCGGCATCGCCTCGGGGCTAAGCCGCCGCGACCCAGTGGCAACCGGCCTGAGGCGATATAATTAGCCCAATCTGCTGAGCGCCTGTCAGCGGTGACCTTGACAGCCCCCGCGGGGCGAGCGAGCCCTCTGCCAACAAGAGGAGGGAGGGAGGGGGCCGGCCCGGCTCAAATGGCCGGCAGCGTCTTTGGCGTGAGCTTGGCGCATGCTAATGCGGCGAGGAGCGATGTGTTCGCGACGAATTCGACGCTCTCGGTCGGAATTTGGAAGCAGCCGTCAGACGCGCGTGGCCCGCTGGCGGCGACGGTGGCGCCGCCTACCGCAGTGACGGGTACTACTGACCAGACGGCGTCACGCCTGACGCGCCTGGGAGCAAAACAAAAAATAAACAAAAACGAACGGTGCTCCCGCACGTGATTTGCAGCTGTTCAAATGTTTTTCCACAGTTAATTTCATGTTTTCTGATAGGATTGTCTCGCAGTTGCTCGACAGGATGGACCCAATATGTCAGGTCGTGTTTTGACCGTTTTCACTTGTTTGTTTGTCCACGAAGACAAGAGTAGGCTGCGATAACAGAGTGCGCAGTTTGCATTCCAGTTGTAATGTGGTGTCATTTTAGTCCATGTTACGCCTTTTTATAAACTCGACCTCGGCCGAGTGTTACACTCACAACGTTAAGTACCGCGACCGTATCGGTGGTGTAGACGGCTTACTTGCACGATTGTTGGCAATAATTTAGTGTCCACGTACGCCATCCTGACCTTAACTGACCATTTCGCCAGCAGGGCACATGTCTGTCCTTTTGTGGTGAGATGACAAGCTCTTGTGGGCTGATTTCACAAAGCGTTCGTGACTTGGCCCATACACACCCCTGGACTCACGATGAACTGCGAAAGCCTGTTGGCACCGGTGCCGTTAGTCACTCGATCATTCCGTACCATCAGTGCCACCACCTGTCGTGATCGTATGGTGCATACGGTACCAAAAGTACGCTGTGAAGGAATTATCTTCATTTTTTCTTTCCTCCCCAGACATCGCGGGACTATATCACATCCCGGTGGAATGTGACATAATAACATGATATAGTATAACGATATGATATAATGTAACATAATATAATAATATATGTGATGCTTAAATGGGAGGAAATGGAGAAGTGTTTTCCAGGTGTCAGAAGACTGGTGATTCATCTGACGCGATGATGAGTTCATCATGATGCACCGAACGGCTCGGGGATGCGTAAACATCCGGAAGGGGTTGCATCAGCATTCCTATCCCACCGGGGAAAGGGAGGCGGGGGGGGGGGGGGGCATAAGCACCGGGCCCATCACGAACGCCATGGACTCCAGAGACCCGTCCAAGGTCGGTTCTTGTCGCCAGCTCCGCCATGACACTGACACTGACAGTGACACTGAATCACGCGCACTATGACGGCAACAGTGACGCTGGCACGCCCAAAATTTGTCACGTGGTCTTGTAACCGGCACAAACAAGCGAGCAATATTTTTGCATTTCGAAATCATACTTTCGTGCTGTCAAAAGCGATATCAGATCAAATGGAGACAGCCTACTTGGGGACGATTTGTGCGCTCCGGTTCACGTGACGTATGAACGTCATTCACCAAGGTCATTTAAGGTCAATGCGTCACCAAGGTTTCCGTTATGTCAACTTGCTTATCGCAGATGGGCGTAGCAAATCATTTTGACTTGTTGATTATATCATGAGCACATGATGTCTGTTGGAGGTCAGGTTAGAGGTTGGAGGTCAGGCTGGAGGTTGGTTGAATGTCAGGCAACAGCCGTCAGGTCTCCGGGTGTGACCTCATGTATTGTGAATGACTCCGAACGGCAGGCGGTCAACCCAGTCCATAAAACACACTTAAGAAATCAAAAAAAAGAAGGAAGCTGCAAAAAAAACACGTAGAGTCAAAAATCGCAATGTGAGCCTCATTGATGACGTCATAACTTGCCGCTCCTACCTGGCATCGGAATTCCTATTCGTCCTGAAAGCGTAAATTGGTCATCTGTCAGACGTGTAAATTACTCCTGAAACTCAGACGGGGCGCTTCTAACGCCACCTAGGCGGCCACCATTCAACGCTTCTTCAGACAAAGCAGACGCTTCCAACAGCA